ACCCAAACCCCCAAAAAAAAAAAAAAAACACAAAAACACAAAAAACAACAACCCAAAAAATGAATTACTTAAGGAATTCTGATTTTTCATTTTTCCTCGCGTTGGCTGACAATACTGTCATATATATATATATATATATATAAGATATATATATATATATATATATATATAATATATATATATATTATATTATATATATATATATATATAGATATAATATATATATATATATATATATATATATATATATATATTATATATATATATATATATACCTAATATGTACCATATCATATATACCATATACCATTCCATTTATATACCTATATATACCTATGTGTACCAAGTAGCCAGAATGCAGTACTCAGCCTACTATACAAGGCCCGATTTGCCTAATAAGCCAAGTTTTCCCGAATTAATATATTTTTCGAAATTTTCTCTTACGAAATGATAAAGCTATCCATTTCATTATGTGTGAGCTGATTTTTCTTTTAAATTTGAGTTAAAACTAACGTAGATATATGACCGCACCTAACCCACCCTACCTAACCTAACCTAACCTAACCTAACCTAACCCACCCTACCTAACCTAACCTAACCTAACCTAACCTAACCCACCCTACCTAACCTAACCTATCTTAACCTAACCCAAACTAACATAACTAAGTCAATAATTTATGTTCCTAATATAATAATATTATTTCAAATAAACCAATTGGAATTTTTTTTTTAATAAAGAAAATCACTCGGCCTTTTAGGCAAATCGGACCTTGCATTGTAGGCCGAGAAGTGCGTTTTGGCTACTAGGTACACACACACACTCTCTCTCTCTCTCTCTCTCTCTCTCTCTCTCTCTCTCTCTCTCTCTCTCTCTCTCTCTCTCTCTCTCTCTCTCTCTCTCTCTCTCTCTCTCTCTCCCTCTCTCTCTCACCTTCTCTACATCTCGCATCACTCTCAGCAAGTTGTATCCGGCCAGTAGCCTCAGGTCATCCAGAGTCCAGGAGGAGTCGGCCAGCAGCTCTGCAAATAGGTGAGGATACCTGGATACATCTTCCAGACCCTCAGGCAGCCTGGAAAGTGAAAGTGAGAGGTGAGAGTACCTGCACTCACATTCCTGATCTTCGGCCAGCCTGGAAAGGGGGAAAGAGGGGAGACGTCCCCCTCTACCTCTGAGGGGATGACAGGGTGGATATGATGACAATCCTGTGAGAGACAAATGTAAATAGATGCAAAAAAAAATCTGATATGGAAATAGATATTGGTTAGAGATATTATTTTACCTCAGATTAATAAATTTCTATTGTTCAGCTAGTGTCGCTGACTCAGCATTCCTCAGGTCAGCTCAGCTAGTGTCCCTGACTCAGCACGTAGTGTGACTCAGTCTGACTCAGCATTCTGACTGACTCAGCATTCAGTCTGACTCAGCATTCCTCAAGTCACCTCAGCTAGTGTCCCCTGACTCAGCAGGACTCTCGCCAAAACACCTCGTTAGACTCTTCATCAAAATCAGACATAAAACTGAAGGAAAATTTGGAAAAAGTTAATGATGAGAAAAACATGAGAAGGGAAATGAGACATAGGAATGTATTTCTCAGCCATGAGAAGAGGAGCTAGAGCAGAGGAAGGAGTCACTCCCCCCCCCCCCTCATCGAGGGTCTAAGAATTTCACCTTAGAAGGAAGTAATTTTCAGAACGAAATCAGAACGTAATCAGTAAAGTAATTAGTAATAATCAGAACGACGAACCAGAGTTGGTTCATCGTTCGTTAATGTTACCATTATATAAGTTCTCCAGTTTCTGGACCTAAACATTTATAACCAGATCTAGTACAGTATTTCCAGTGTCTAGAATAAAATTTCCCAAGTTTCTAGGAAAATATTCCCAGTTTCTTGGATATTATGTCTAGTTTAACAAACATTCTTATTAAAACTTAGTGGTAACTTGCTGTTGGGTTATCTCTTTATTATTTAGTACGATTTGTAAAATAAATTCAGTCACTCGAAGATGCCTAACCACTTGGGCTGGATGGTAGAGCGACGGTCTCGCATCACGCAGGTCGGCGTTCAATCCCCCGACCGTTTACAAGTGATTGGGCACCATTTCCTTTCCCCCTGTCCCATCGCAAATCCTTATCCTGACCTCCCCCCCTACCCAGTGCTATATAGTCGTGGTGGCTTGGCGCTTTCGCCTGATAGTTTCTTTCCCTTTCCCTTGAGAATTTTCTTCCAGTAAATTTTCCCATTCAAAGTCAAATTTAGCCTGAGGTTAAAGCAAAACTTAGTTGCAGGTTATAGCCAAAGTTAGGACAAGCTTGGTATGTTACAAGTATTCTCAGACTTAGTAGTCGGATAATAAAGTTCAACTTAATTGAAGGTCTAATCACGCAACATTTGAACTTTCTCAGACATTATGCTCATACACGCAGCTCGAAATTTTAGCACACTAATAAAAAAGCTGAATTTAATGTTACCATTCAGAACTATAGAGCTTCCAGTGAACACATTCTCTCTTCCAAGCCGAAGCTTTTTAACAAGAAACATGTGTGTCCTCCCACGCAACAGCTGCTCTTTTTTTTGCTCGTCGGTGGAGACCCAAACAGCGCCGGGTTGAGTGGCACACACACACACACACACACACACACACACACACACACACACACACACACACACACACACACACACACACACACACACACACACACACACACACACACACACACACACACACACACACACACACACACACACACACACACAGACGATGCTTGTGTAACAATTACACTAGGTTTGATTTGGTCTCATCCTACCGCACCTGGAGTCTGTGTATGATAATTGAAGTATGATAACTGTGTATGATAACTTCCCCGGGCATCTCAGTTGTGCCTCATGGCAACTCTGTATGTATAGTGCTCTCTCCTCCCCCCACGGCAACTGTGTATGTTTGCACCAGAATGAAGGCAACGTTGTTCATCTTATTGTCTTGCCATTCACGTACCTCAACTGAACAACTGACCAATCACGAACGTTATATATATATCAGCTGATTTGTGTAAACAAAATCAGCTGATTTGTGTAAACAAAATCAGCTGATATATACCCCACTTGTCGGTTTATCCCAGTATATAAATAGCTTATTTAGCCCTAAATTATGTTTAGGAATAGCGATGAGGGGTCCAGTGGTGGAATGTTTGAAGACGTCGACATATACATCGAAATGTGTACATATACATTGACATATACATCCCATTTATTAATGTATATACACTGTGTGTTTACTTTATGCTTGGATACCTTTAAACTTGTAGCACATATTAATGGTAGAATATATGGTATTAGTAGCACACGGTGACATGAATTAATTCCTTATTCAACACCCTTCTTTTTAAGATATTTCATTTTCTAAATTATTTTTAGAAAAAATAATTTATTTAGAATTAATGTCACTATGAACGTTTCCACTGCCAAACCAAGTTCTCTCTCTCTCTCTCTCTCTCTCTCTCTCTCTCTCTCTCTCTCTCTCTCTCTCTCTCTCTCTCTCTCTCTCTCTCTCTCTCTCTCTCTCTCTCTCTCTCTCTCTCTCTCTCTCTCTCTCTCTCTCTCTCTCTCTCTCTCTCTCTCTCTCTCTCTCTCTCTCCTCTCTCTCTCTCTCTCTCTCTCTCTCTCTCTCTCTCTCTCTCCTCTCTCTCTCTCTCTCTCTCTCTCTCTCATCTTCTAGACATCACTTACTATATGCCAAATAAAGTTGTGGACTCACCACGACTGAGAAAATATACATTAAAATAAATTTATACATATTTATTCATGAAAACAAATTTATTCATATTTATAAATTAAAATAAATTTATACACGGCATCATTGCTACTTTCAATAAACATCGGAAAAAGTAATCATTCGTGTGTTTGAGAATTAAGTATATTACACAGCAACTCTTTTGTCTCTCTCAAGCACTGAGCCACAAATACAGTGTTTCAAATCAGGGGCTTTTGTTCGGTGCAGGAAGCTGATTGATTGGTTGTGCGTTGTGTTCCTGTCGATTGTGCAGCTGGTGATTGTCTTGCCACGTGTAGCTCGCGGGTCTAGTATCAGCTTGTTAGCAGTGCCTTGTATTCTAAAACGCTTCAAGCGCTATATAAGAACATAAAAACATACGAATGACGGTAACTGCAGAAGGCCTATTGACCCATACGAGGCAGCTCTTATTTATATGCACCCAATCGCATTCATATATATGTCTAACCTACGCTTGAAGCAATCGAGGGATCCTACTTCTATTATGCTACGCGGTAATTGGTTCCGCAAATCAACAACCCTGTTACTGAACCAGTATTTACCCAGGTCTTTCTTAAATCTAAAACTTTTCCAATTTATACCCATTGTTTTGTGTTCTATTTTGTGTTGATACTTTTTAATATCTTACTAATATCCCCTTTGTTATGCCCATTCATCCATTTGTACAACTTTATCATGTCACCCCCTAATTCTTCGTCTGTGTAGAGAATGTAAATTAAGCTTTGTCAATCTTTTTTCATATGACAGGTTTCGGGGATTAACTTTGCCATCCTACCTTCGATTTGGGGGATTAACTTTGCCATCCTACCTTCGATTTGGGGGATTAACTTTGCCATCCTACCCTGAAAGCGTTCTAGTAAATTTATATCCATTCTATAGTATGGCGACTAAAACTGAACTGCATAATCTAAATGGGGCCTAACAAGAGCATGATATAGCTGAAGTATAACAACAGACATTTTATTACAAATGCTTCGAGAAATAAATCCCAGTGTTCTATTTGCCTTAATACGAACATTTATGCATTGATCTTTTGGTTTTAAATTCTTAGTAATCATAACTCCCAGATCCCTTTCGCAATCCGACTTCGCAATGTCAACACCATCTACCTCGTATCTTGTAACTCTATCATCATTACCTAGCCTCAGAACTTTACATTTATCAGCATTAAACTGCATCTGCCAATCTTTTGACCATTTCAAAACCCTATTTAGATCGTCTTGAAGTGATAGTGAGTCTTTTTCCGTGTTTTTCTCCCTCCCACTTTTCGTATCATCAGCAAATATTGCTGCTCAAACCTGATTCTAAATCTTTTATATATATATATATATATATATATATATATATATATATATATATATATATATATATATATATATATATATATATATATATATATATATATATATATATATATATATAATCCCAGGACAAGTCCTTGAGGCACTCCTCTTACAACATTTTCCGACTCTGACTTAACTCTATTTATACAAACTGTTTGTTTCCTTTGGTATAGCCATGCCCTAATCCAACTTAATATAGTACCCCCTCAATACCGTGAGCCTCTATTTTTTTTAATCAATCTTACATGTGACACTGTATCAAAAGCTTTGGTAAAGTCAAAGGTCTACATCACAAACCTTACCACTATCAACTGCCTCAACTATACTGGAACTCAATTATTGCCTCAACTATATCTTCAGACGTCGTCGGTGTGTCGACGACGAATTGACGTGGTCCCCCCCATCCCCCCAAAAAAAAATGGAAGGGGCCGTTGAATCTTTCATATTTGTAATTATCGATTCAAGCCACTTTCCCACTATTGACTTTAAACTAATTGGCAGATAGCTTGACGCGAGTGATCAGTCTCCTTTCTTGTAAATTGGTACCACATTAGCAGCCTTCCACGACTCTGGCACTCTGCCTGGCTCTAATGATTTATTAAATATGGTAATGAGCTTCAGTGTGATGATGATGAATGTTAAATTGGAACATATTTCCAGGATGTGATGCTTCCCTTAGGGCAATGAGGTAAAAATGATACATGCAACAGCCCGTTTCATTTTTTTTTTTTTGGGGGGGGGGGACATCGTCGACACGTCGTCGACACACCGACAACGTCTGAAGATGTGTCGTGAAGTATGTCGTGCGTACGGATCTAAGGGCTGGTTGTTTTACGGACGCGTTGTTCCTCTAGCACAAGCTATTTCTCCACCACTACCAGCTGGCCCTCCACCACCACAACCTGACCCCCTCCACCACCACAAGCTGACCCCCTCCACCACCACAAGCTGACCCCCTCCACCACCACAAGCTGACCCCCCTCCCCCACCACAAGTGAACTACCTTTGAACGCATTTATCCTACACAAAAAAAACTAACTTTCGCTTTCTGACCAAATCTGCACGAGAATTGGCGTGTGCGTAGACAGGTGCACACTTCAGGCCCTGAAGTCTTAAACGTGTCGCGCGAGGACGCAAAATACTCACCTGTCGGAGCTCAAGACCGGCGAGTGTAAAATATCCAATTAAAACTTTTTTCCCTCATCCTGGGCCGTAAAAAGCAAAGTTACAAGTGAACAACTTTCACCAGTCGATTAATCGATTTAAGTGCCTTAGAAGAACGACCGTTTCAAAGTCTTAAAGCAAGTTGCGGATTTTTTTTTTGAGTCCGTAAGTTTCGCGGTAGAAATACTAGGGGAAAAAAAAGACACTTTTTTAGTATGCTTCACGTTTCAAAATTTGTGTTTTCCCTGTTAGATCAAAACTTGACACAGGATATAAGTGAAAATATTACATATGAGCCGAGGATACATTTTTTTGTTTAATAATTAAACGGATGATGTTGTAATTTACATAGATTTCTCTTTTATATATATATATATATATATATATATATATATATATATATATATATATATATATATATATATATATATATATATATATAATATATACATTGTGTGAAAAAGTAACTGGAGCGAGAAAAGAAGCAATGGTGGCAAGGTAAACTTGATGATTAGAAGGAGGGTAAACTTCACAACCAGAAGCAGTGTAAACTTCATGGGTATAGTAAGCATGGAACAGCTGTTCATTATTGACGCATCTTAGTGACAGGTTATTGAATCTGTGCTAATTTGTGTGGGCTTTGAGTGCTTTTAGGGGGACTCAGTGGTGTTATATGAAGCTCTGTGGGAGCTTATTGAAGCTGTATTATGCTCTGTGGGGGCTTATTGAAGCTGTATTAAGCTTTGTGTGGGCTTATTGAAGCTGTATTAAGCTCTGTGGGAGCTTATTGAAGCTGTATGAAGCTCTGTGGGGCTTACTGAAGCTGTATTAAGCTTTGTATGGCTTATTGAAAATGCATTATGCTCTGTAGGCTTATTGAGGCTGTATTAAGCTCTGTGGGGCTTATTGAAGCTGTATTAAGCTCTGTGTTAGCTTATAGAAGCTGTATTAATCTCTGTGGGAACGTATTGAAGCTGTATTGAGCTCTGTGGGGCTCAATAGGCCTGAATTAGGCTCTGTAGGGCTGAATTAGGCTCTGTGGGACTCAATAGGCCTGAATTAAGCTCTGTGGGGCTCAATAGGCCTGAATTAGGCTCTGTGGGGCTCAATAGGCCTGAATTAGGCTCTGTGTGGGGTTTAGTGAGGATGAATTAGGCTCTGTGGGGCTCAGTAATAATGCTTAACTGAGAACATATATAACAAGAGCAACAGAAGTGCCACCCGTCAAGGATTCCACGTAACAATAACTAACAACAGCAGCACGACAAAGAACCATTTGACAAAGAAAACAAATAAAAAAAACAAGTTGAGTAATCAATATAGCCTCTCCATAAACAACCCCCCAACACTCTCCTTTCCTTCCTTAAGTTTTGACCATAGATTCTCAATATAGCCGCCCCATAAACACCCCTCCAACACTCTCCTTTCCTTCCTTAAGTTTTGACCATAGATTCCCGCAAGAACACCACGTCCGTCAGTACTAGCACGCCCACCTACAGATAACAGCAGTTGGCTGTCAACAGTTACACACGCAGTGATAATTCCGAAGAAATGATAACCCGGGCGTCAATGGTACTTTCATTCACGCAAGGACGAAAAGGAGGAGGGAAAAAAACTTCCCCCAGCTCGAGTGAGATATTCGTCATTCGCCTCAAATGGCCAGAAACAGGCAATGGCGGCCTGAAAGAGGCAATAACGGCCAGAAATACACCAGGCAGGCAATGCCAGAGTGAAAAAAAATATATATAACAGGTTCCTTATTTATGGCGAAGACATTATTTGTCTGAGACGTCAGGTCGACATTATCAAGACCCAGATGATCGGTGGCTCCTTTGTTACCTCTGGACATGAGGGATGGATCGAGCCTGAATAGTGACTCGAAGACTGGCTGGATGTAGAAGGTCCACAGGCAAGAGTGCGGGTCTTGAAGTCTTAATAGTGACTCGAAGACTGGCCGGATGGAGTAGGTTCTCATGCAAGAGTGCGGGTCTTGGTAGTCACTGGAATACTAATGCGTCATTTAATTTGTCTAATCATTGACTAAAAGAATGTATTTGTGCGAGCTTCCTTAATCACTGGAAGACAGACTGGAAATAGTTGATCGAAAGAATGCATAAAAAAGGTGAAGTGAAATCTCTATTGATAGTCACTGGAATGCTGGAAGGATATTATCGATCTTTCAACTTTCCAGATGCTTAATTTGATAACCCCCTGAAAGGCTGACTGGAAGTGGAGTGAAGTGGAATTATGTAGTTCTTGGAGTCCTGTTAGGCTGGATTAATAAGAATAAGACATGGAAAGAACGTTGTTGTCACTACCTGGAAAGAAGCAGAAGTTCAAGGTTAGAAGGTTGAATGCATAGAGAAGGTCTGGTTATATCTTGAAAGACTGGATAAATGAAAGAATATTGGCAGTGCCTGAAAAAATTAAATTTGCTTTAAAAAGCGAATGAAATGCTAGGTAAAATGAGCTGTGATGTCTTCCAGAAACCAAGAAATAGTGCTAAAGTGTCAGTCGTATGCGATTGGCGAGTATCTACAAGTAACAAGAATAGCACAGTTCCCCCAACTATGCTGTAATGTGCATTGGAAGTCTAGATGAAGAATAGAAAGTATTGTCTGAAATAAGCAAAACAAATGGGATGAGTTTGAAGAAGACACAAATTGGCTGACAGAAACCTGGGTGTCTGGAGGCAGTGGAAGGATTACCTTGAAGAATTATCGAAGGCTTACCCGAGTTTCCTGGAAGAATAAGATGTTCTTGTTGTTGTATTATAAGTAAAAGAAGGTGCAATTTATAACACTTTTCTGCAACATATTGTCCAGAGCAGACAGACCTTACCTGCAATGTGCATATGTGAAAGTTGACTGCTGAATAACCTGACCTGCATCTTGAGCTAAGGCAGACTGACCAACAGGGGTCAGAAGTATCTCCGGACTGGGCCTATATGCAGACATTCCTTGAATACAACATTACTCTAACTGCTGAGCGACGTCAGCCACACAATCACCTGGTCTGCAGGCTGCAACAGCCCCCACAACCACCTGGTCTGCAGGCTGCAACAGCCCCCACAACCACCTGGTCTGCAGGCTGCAACAGCCCCCACAACCACCTGGTCTGCAGGCTGCAACAGCCCCCACAACCACCTGGTCTGCAGGCTGCAACAGCCCCCACAACCACCTGGTCTGCAGGCTGCAACAGCCCCCACAACCACCGGGGCTGCAGGCTGCAACAGCCCCCACAACCACCTGGTCTGCAGGCTGCAACAGCCCCCCACAACCACCTGGTCTGCAGGCTGCAACAATAACTCACTTGTTGACTCCGTCGAAGTCTGCCCCGATACCAACGTGTTGAACTCCGGCGATTTTCCTCACGTGGTTGATGTGGGCTGTGGGAGACATAAACACGTGGTTGATGTGGGCTGTGGGAGACATAAACACGTGGTTGATGTGGGCTGTGGGAGACATAAACACGTGGTTGATGTGGTGTGTGGGAGACATAAACACGTGGTTGATGAGGTCTGTGTGAGACATAAACACGTGGTTGATGAGGTCTGTGGGAGACATAAACACGTGGTTGATGTGGGCTGTGGGAGACATAAACACGTGGTTGATGAGGTGTGTGGGAGACATAAACACGTGGTTGATGTGGGCTGTGGGAGACATAAACACGTGGTTGATGAGGTGTGTGTGAGACATAAACACGTGGTTGATGAGGTCTGTGGGAGACATAAACACGTGGTTGATGTGGGCTGTGGGAGACATAAACACGTGGTTGATGAGGTGTGTGTGAGACATAAACACGTGGTTGATGAGGTCTGTGGGAGACATAAACACGTGGTTGATGTGGTCTGTGGGAGACATAAACACGTGGTTGATGAGGTGTGTGGGAGACATAAACACGTGGTTGATGAGGTCTGTGTGAGACATAAACACGTGGTTGATGAGGTCTGTGGGAGACATAAACACGTGGTTGATGTGGGCTGTGGGAGACATAAACACGTGGTTGATGAGGTGTGTGTGAGACATAAACACGTGGTTGATGAGGTCTGTGGGAGACATAAACACGTGGTTGATGTGGGCTGTGGGAGACATAAACACGTGGTTATGTGGGCTGTGGGAGACATAAACACGTGGTTGATGTGGTCTGTGGGAGACATAAACACGTGGTTGATGAGGTCTGTGGGAGACATAAACACGTGGTTGATGTGGGCTGTGGGAGACATAAACACGTGGTTGATGAGGTCTGTGGGAGACATAAACACGTGGTTATGTGGGCTGTGGGAGACATAAACACGTGGTTGATGTGGTCTGTGGGAGACATAAACACGTGGTTGATGTGGGCTGTGGGAGACAAAACACGTGGTTGATGTGGTGTGTGGAAGATACCTTGTATACCAAACATAGTCTTGTTTTAATTTAAAAAAACTTAAAATCTTTAAACAAAATAATAATAAAAAAAGGAATAAAATATATAATATACCAAAAATGTAATAAACTTTTTCACCAGCTTTGTAGCGACTATTAAACTGTGCACCGTGTGAAAGTTTCATCAGAATTTGATGCAATTAAGAACTCTGAAGCGATTTAAGCAAAATATGATTTTTTTTGAGATTTTAATTTTCCCGCCAAAAATGTGGCGCCAAAAATGCCTAACAATATTACGTCTGATATGATGTATCTTTATGTATTTTACTTGTATAAACAAGTAAATAAAATAAGTAAAATACTTGTTTATACGAATATTTTACCTGTATAAATAAGTAAAATAATAAATGGCAATTCATTTAAAATTGTTTGATATATTTCAAATATTGATAAAAACTGTTATTAACTCTGTCAGCAGAACTATTCGCATACTTTGCGTCATTATATAATGGAATGTGAAAAAAATAGCGGAATTTAGACAACACCATCAATAGTGTCCAAGAAATGTGTAAGTACTTCATTCATAATGATGTGCTGCCCAAAATCTTAGCGAAGTATCCAAAATTTGCTTACTGTAGGTAATGCATGCACATGACTGTAAAGCTGCCGCCCAGTTGGGTGGGTGTGGAGGAAGACTAGTAACTGTTTGACTCATCATACATATAAAGTGCCTTGTATAGTGACTGTTGTGAGCCTCTTGTTGAATCACTTGTGACACAAAAGATTATTGATATGTGGATGATTAAATATGTATGTGTATGTATATATGTATACGTATGTAGTTGTATGTATATGTACATATATGCATGAGTATCTGTACATGTATATATAACATTAATAATTTTGTAACTAGCGTCAAAAGATTGTTATTTGCTTAGTTAAACGAACTAGAGGGTTCAGTTCCTGAACTGATTATGTGCCTCTGTAATCCTTTACACCACCGCCCACGGGATGGGTATGGGGTGCATAATAAAGAAAGAAATTAAATATTAAAGTGCTAGGTTTTCAAATAATAAAAACAAGATGTTTAAATAAAAGTTTAAGAATAGCAACCTTAAGCGAGGAGATAATAAAGCAAAATGTACATACAATAATGCAAATAAATATATTAATGGTTATATAGAAATTATATTTATAAAACACTGAAGTAATAAATCAATACAAAAATAAAAACACTTATAAATAAAAAAAAATAATAAATTTATATTAAAAAAATAGCAGTCAAAACCCTATAGTTTCTATTTAATAGCATAAGTTCGTACTATAATTTTGTTTTTCTCAGTCAAGCCAGAGGCCAATCTCTACAACAGTTGTACAGCCTAGACTTATACTTTCTTATTTTCCGTTTTCTAAAATGACGGTTCATGGGTAACTTTAGAAAATTTAAACTGCATATAAAAATGGGTCATATTGTGCTGCTCACGCACCGGAGGGGCGACGGGCAGCACAGACCTAAGGAAGCGAACGACTGGAAACACTCGCCCGTCGCCTTCAAACTGCCTTCTCTCTTCGCAAAATGTTTTGTGCTGGACGAAGAGTTCTGGGGACCTTGAATAGGAATATTTTGGGCTGGGATTTCGGAGGGGGAACTGAGTAATTTGGGGAATATAGTGTGGAAGGGGTCAGGATAAGGATTTGCGATGGGACGGGGGGGAAAGAAATGGTGCCCAACCACTTGGAAGGTCGGCCTTGTACTGTGTTACGGAAGATATAATATAGTACTGTACTTCAGGAGACAAGCTCAGTACTGTACTACTCTGAGATGCTTTGATGAGAATCTATATAGGATATACAGTGATGCTGTGAAGATAATGTTTTAAAGATGCTTCAACCAGAGATTTTATCTGAAGTAACATGCGAGATATAATTACTATGGGGGAATACAGGAGTAGAGGACAATTACTATGGGATGAATTCAGGAGCAGTTGCCGAATATTCTATGTGTAAATAGGAGTACTGGGGGGGGGGGGGGATTACCATAGAGGCATACAGGAATAATGGGTGATTTATATGGGGGATATAAAATATTAGTGAAAAATTGCTATGGGGGTATACATGATTACCGGGTACTTACTATGGGGGTGTAACAGAAGAAGTGAAGGATTACTACGAGGTTCTGAGGGATTACTCTGGAGGTATAGAGGCGACTGTGTGGGATTACAACTAGGATTAAAGCTAATTTCTCACTTCAGATAAGAGACAAATTTACCCCACCCAAGCAATTTTGTGTCAATAATAATAATGAGAAAATCCATAGTAGTTGTAATGAGGATTCGAACCTACGTTGTGGCCTAGCGTGTGGCTGGGAACACCCACCGCGTAGGTTCGAACCCACATCACTGCTCCTATGAATTTTCTCATTGAAGTAGTCACATTAGTGTGATTTCTCTTTGTTTAAATAATAATAATAATAATAATAATAATAATAATAATAATAATAACAATAATAATAATAATAATAATAATAATAATAATAATAATAATAATAATAATAATAATAATATTAATAATAATATTAATAAAAATAATAATATTAATAATAAAGCTTCAGTTACCGAGCAGTCCTGTAGACAATTCTGGAACACTGAAAAGCTAAAATATCGGAAGAGCTATACAAATGTGTATTGTATTGCTCGTCTGTACTGTGTATATAATCCAGGCTTATCCGAGTATTCCCTATATAACGCTAGCGAGGCGGGATAGAGTCCGTATATAGAGCCACGGACCAGGCTCTGTATAGACCAATGAACCGGGCTCTGTATAGACCAATAGATCAGGCTCTGTATAGATCAGCGGTCCAGGCTTTGAATAGAATAGATCAAGAGACAAGGTTGTGTATGTGATCATTTACAAACTGATGTATACCCCTGGAAGGTGTAGCCTGAGGTGTATACCTGGGATGTATACGACTGGGTATACATATACATGTCATTAAATCGCAACAGTATTTCGACTATTATTAATTTTCTTTCGGATATGTTTTTTTTTACCTAAATATATTCTACCATCTAGAGGGTGAAGACACAATAGATATATATATAAATCTTTCCATTTTTATTGTTCGACGTTTCGTGAGCAACGTGACATCTTGAGGAGTTCACTCTGTTGATCTGACACAGCTATGTTAAGCTTGCTAAGACACATCTAGACGTTTATAAGTGTGGGGTACACCTCACTCTCCGATTTAATGTAATGGTTTAATGTAATCATGTGAGAGTGAATTGTTTGCAATGGTGTGATAGTGAATTGTTTGCAATGGCGCTTAGTGAATGAAGTACAAAAAGCAATATTGCATAAACATATTGTTTGATTTATTTATTAGAATACGTGCATACTTGGACATGTACGTCGTGTTGACCGGGTTGTGAAACAAAAGGATTGATTTACGTGTGCCTCCGGTGTCCCCCCCAGACCCCAAAATTCGTGGGTGTCATCATAACAGACACCATCACCAGTAGGGGTAAATCTTCACTACATAATTCAGCTCTGCTCTCCACGTTTACCAACCTCACTAAACGCGGTCTTCCTCATTTGTTGCGTTATCCTCAACCGTCTAACTAAGTTGTGTCAGTAATTATAAACTTATGCAATATTTACAGCTAAATTAAACAGTTCAGATTGAGGTATAAATAGTATTTTTGAGTAACTTTCTTTGCCTATTTCGATATATGAAACAGAGCACATGATACAGCAGGTGTTTCCTCTCTGGACTGTAACCGTTATGAATTAATCGCCAAAATCATTCATCAACTTTACGAGGTATGTTACTAAAAGAAGCTATAAGGTGAACAAATCCACAAGGGCCGTGACGAGGATTCGAACCTACGTCTGAGAGCATCCCAGACGCTGCCTTAATCGACTGAGCTACGACATGTTAAAAGAAGTAAGGGCGAAGAGGTAGAACGGCCTATTGACATAACTCTAGTGCATGGGGAATTGTGTAAAACCCTGGTTTGTGTCT